TTCCCCCACCTCAGAGTCATGAAACTCAGAGCCAGGTCCACTGTGTCTCTGCACTTGGCCTCAACACAAAGGCTGAGAAGAGATTCTGAATCTCTTCTTACCTGGAATTCTTCACGTCCTAGGTCATTTCTTGTCATGCCTGGACCACCCCTTTCTCCTGTTTCATCCAGACAGCCTTGAAATTCCCAAACGAAGGGAAAGACAGTTGGGAAGGGAAAACTCCATTTTGTGCAAACTCTTGTTATTCTAGTTGCTTGTGTTAGAGTTTCTTTTCTGCTAATCCTACCCTTAGGACTTCTCATCACCCCCAGTTCTGGGCACCTGTAGCCACAGCTGTTCCACTCAACGTTGGCCCTACTTTGAAGTGCTTTAGTTTAACCTTCAAGCCAGCCAATCTTTAGCTTTACAGAAGTCTTGGTAACCATGTTTATACTTAGTCCCCACTGCTGTGTGCTTCAAAACTTCTTGCATCTTATCTAGGAGTGAAGTTCATGTTGGATAAAAATCTTACCTCTATCTTCTTTCTCTTACGAGGGCTACATGTAAATATAGGGATCACAATTTCATCTTAGAGGAAACTAAGTTTAACATAGTGTGTCAGTCAGACAACTGAAATAATTGCTGCCCATTGTTAGCTAGCTCATGACTATCATCTAACCAGATTCTTAAGATTCCAAACAAAGCTGAAGTTGGTATGTTTGAGACAAGGTAACAGTGGAAATATGATGGGTTTGGGCGTCAAAACTAGGTAGGAATTTAACAGGATGTTACTGCTGAAATTCTAAGCAAATCACCAAAAGTTTATATGTGAAATGGCATTAAAGACACAAAGTAGAGTATCTTCAAGGATTGCTATTCTTTAAGCCCTTTTGTGCTATTTCAGTGGTTTATTTGGCACAGATTATGTAAAGTTTCCTGTGCAGGTGGGATAATTAAATCAGATAGGAGACTTATTGGTGAAAACTGGCAAGACTAAGTAATATATCAGAAGACCAAGCGGATTTGATCTACAGCAGTATCCACAAAGCAATACATACATAAGTATAAATAAGGAACAAAAGGATAGTGAAATCTCTAAATGTGCTCTCTTGACCATAAGCCCCCAAATAATGACCTTTAAATAACATATTCATGAAATACAAAACAAGATTATACCCAAGAAAACAGGCCTATTATCATATTTCATTCGTCCATCTAACATTTTCCCCCTAAGACTCTACCATGAGTTACACCACGCTAAACGTTAAAAAGGAATGAGCAAAAGCAAATAAGAGTTTCTGAGCTAGTGGAGTTTACAGATTGGATAAATTCTAAATGAGAATAACCAATCTCAATGTAAAAGATAAATAGGCGTTAACTATGTAGAAAGGGGTGGGACAAAGAAATCTGAATGGCTAGGGAGGGAGCAAACAGCATCGTAAGCAAAGGGCCTTTTCCAGGAAGAAAAAAGAGTAGATCTGAAAGGCTGGTAAAAACACTACTGACTGTCAAGTTACACAAGAGATGGATTCAGAAGGGAGAGTGTACAAGAATAAATGTGGATAGGTGACCACAAAATCAAATTTTAGTTAAGTGACAACTTGGGAAGCCATACAATTATAATTTCCTCTGAATGTATTCTATTCTCCTTGCAACCCTGGAGAGGAGTTCCAATGATTTCCAAAGATTTCCACTACTGTATATGCTTGATTGTGGCTTTTTAAAAAAAGATTTATTTATTTATTATGTACACAGTGTTCTGCCTGCGTGTATCCCTGCAGGCCAGAAGAGGGCACCAGATCTCATTACAGATCTGTAGTTTCTGGGAATTAGTCTCAGGACCTTTGGAAGAACAGGCTGTGCTCTTAACTGCTAAGCCATCTCTCCATCCCCCCAACTGTGGCTTCTTAAACAGCTGAGTCATGTAACCAGATGAAATATTTGACAACCATCCAACATACAACAATCATAAATTAGAAATTAAGCAAGTTATGAGCTTGTCATGTGTCCGGCAGTGCTTGCCTATCCTGTGCCGTGTATTTTCACCATTGCCTTGGCTCTGAGCACACACCAAGCACACACTATGCACTCTACAAGCCATCTACACTCGACACCTCAGCTCAGGTTGAAGAGTGCAGGTTACTACTAATTGCAATGTCTCTACTGTATGTGCAAATTTTCCCACTCCTTATAGAAACATAGAGGTTTACTTATACAAAATAACCCAATGATTTTTAATATTTTCTGACTGTCAACCCTTATCATGTATCAAATAAGTGTAACTTGGGATTGTACTGTGTCACAATGTTTGACTTCTAAAATTGATGTTTCAGTTGCTGACTTTAATTTAATTTTTAGAAAGCAATTAAATGAATTTTGCCCTGGGATTAGGATGGAATTTCCAACAATTGCTGAAACACTACAAACGGATATAAAGATGTGCCGTTATCCATCAATAAAAGCAGCCTAATTGGTTTTTCTTCTTCTCATTGTTTCTTGCCAAGAAACCTGAAGAATTATTTATTCTGAAAACTGTGTAACTTAAACAAGATATAGTTATTGATGTTGATTGTTCTACAGAAATAGTCTAATCCATTTTCATTGTTTTGTATCATTAAGTATGTTTGTCCTTGCGTGCTCTGTGTTCTCTATTGCAGGAATAACTAAGGTGAGCCATTGTGCTCCCCCATGAATATAACTTTTGATAGCTTCAAAATTTTTCACCTTTCCCTCAGAATTCTTTGTGACTACTCAAAGCCTTTTCTCTATATCAGTAATTTGATTTTACTCCTCTAGTCTGTTTTTTCCATGATTTCAAAACCTGTCCATTAATTCTTAAAGGTGTTTTTCTCTTTAATTGGTTTCCTTATTTCTTTTATCTCAATTCGGCTTATATTTTTCAATACGTTGTTTTAGTATCTTGTTACTGTGTTCATCATATTCCTACATGGCTCCACAGTGCAAAGTACTTATGTAAATTCTCCTTCCTCCTTCTCAGGTTAGATTTTAGCTCTTATCATGTGCTTCACCCATCTTAACATGTCATCTTCCTTCCTTCCTCCTTTTCCATTCTCCTCCCTTTCCTTCATTTTATAACCTCTATCTATATGACTATCACTGACTTTTTCTTTTGCTGATACTAACCATGCAAAGTCTTCTTGAATCTATTTCTTCTGTATTAATCAGTTACTACCCTGATACAATTACGCCCCTAAATCTCAATGACTTCATAGCAAAAAAAAAAAAAATTCTTGCTTGTAAGACTGCAGACAACCTGCCATTAAGCTCTTTCCATCTTGGCTAACCTAGACGTGCCTGCCCTAAAGTCCTGGTGTGGCTGGCGTGGAAGGCTCTAGCTCACCTGGCTCTTAAGCAGACACATCTGTCTCCCTCCAGAGTGAAGTGACTGGCAAAGCTCGTAAGGGTGTTCCTACAGCTCCTGCTGTTGCTGACTTCTGAAGAATGACGGGAAGTACAGCACTGGCGAGCTCTGCAAGGCCAGAACACAGAGGGGTTGGCGCCTGAATCTGCTGAGGCCGCCTAATCCCAGCATAGCTTAAGTATCTGTCTGGGTTTCGCAAATTTTGGAAGCCCCAGATTTGAGGATTTCAACCTTAAGACCCAAGTGTCTGATTGTACCTTCACCACAGATTGTGTGTTCCCCAATAAGCAGGTAAAAGTAAATCCAGCAACTTCACATTTTTCTTGAATAAACTCTACCCCTTAACTACGAGAGATGTAAGGATAAAAGTGTAAAACATCCAAAAAATATGAAAGTATAAACTAGCCACTACAACTTCAAACTTCTCATCTTTCAAAAATGTGTAATAACAAACTATTATTTATTTTAGTGGCAAAATAAGGTGTTCGAGCCAATCAATTGTTGTGGCTCATATCGCAACACATTAATAGCAAGTATAACTTAAATTTTATTAAATCAAGACTAAAGGTTTTGTAGTTTCTCAAAAATTTTGTGGAAAAATATTAATTTCATTAGGTAGCAGAGTTTCTGCAGGTTTGTGTGTGCGTGCATGTATGGGAGTAAGATGTGAACGTGGAGTGCTTTCCTTAATCATTCAATTTGCCTTTTTTTTTTTTCAGACATTGTTTCCAGCTGAACCTGGAGCTCACAAGTTAAGCTACACTCCAGGGTTCCTCCCTCCTTCCCCCCTTCCAAGCCCAGGATCACAGGCTCCCGCTTTCTTGTGAGCATTGTGGATCTGCATTTAGGTCCCACGCTTCTGTGGCAGCATTTTACTGACTGAACCATTTCTCCGGCCTACATTCTTAATTTAGTTAAGTGAAATCTCATTTAATTTAGTCAGTAAAAATTCAGTTTCTGGAAATAACTGATTTTTTTCAAACTCTACCACCCCCCCCCTATTTTTTTTAAATCCCATCTACAGCGTACATATATCAAATGCCGTAACTCTGAACCCATCTATTTTATCTTACACCCTTGTCCACTGCCTTCCTTGTCAATGCCCCATAATATTTTAGGTCATATCTTTGGAATACATCGTGCGTGTGTTCAACTACACTGTCAGCTGTCCTGAGAAGCTGGATTTATGTCTTCATTGCTTTTGAATTCTCCAGAAACCTTAAAGGTGACTTTGAGGTTGGCCTTTAAAAGCTGTGCCATTGGGTCAGGTGTACCTAGCTCCGGTTGTTCTTGGAAAAGCCTGTTTGTCTTTGGTTTCTCTGCATTCCTTGACATTCGTTTTCTGTTAGATAACGACACTAGGGCAACGTCCCGAGGAATCCAACCCCCGGCTCTGGCCGTTAAGACTGTGAGCCTCTCATAGCCCGGGATCGGTTTGAAAGACCCTTCTTTAAAATGCCACTCCGAAACCTAGTTACCCGTCCGTTACCAGGGCCTCCGGTGCTGCAGATGCCCAAAGATGTTGACAAGGCAGCTAGGATTTACCTGCCAGAGGCCCAGCCGCTATGGTAACAGCTAGTCGCAAGTGCGCTTGCGCGGAAACCCCGCGACGCGATGAAACGGCCTTAACGACAGTAGCTTCTTGCGGCAGCGACGTGATTTACGGCTGCCTGTCGTAGCGCGTCTTTGGGCTCGAATGCCGGGGCGGGAGTCTCAGCGGGACCGCTCCTGCTGCTGGTCCGCGGGCCGGGATGACCCAGTCGGTGGTCGTACAGGGTGAGCTGCCCCCTTGTCCCCCGGGTCGCCTCGGAGCCCATGCACCTGCTTGTCTTTCTAACGTGCTTCTCTCTCTTCCCCGCCGCCGGCCGCAGTCGGACAGTGCGGAAACCAGATCGGCTGCTGCTTCTGGGACCTGGCACTGAGGGAGCACGCCGCGGTCAACCAGGTACGCGCTCGCCCTGAGCCCCCCACCTGTCACCCGGGCTTGCCAGCGGAGAAGGAAGGCTTCTCTTGAGGCTTGACTCTCGCTATGGTCTCGCTACGGGGCCCCGACTGACCTGGGACTCGCTGTGTAGACCATGCTGGTCTCATTTGAGCGGTTTTATCTATGCCATAAATTGCCTTTACATCTTTATTGTAAGTTGCATAGGATCTTCCCATGTTGAACGTAGCTAGTTTGATTTTTAAACCCATGTTGCTGTAAGTCACAGGCAGAAGACACTGGCCAAAGAGTTTGTTCTTGGGTGACCCTAATTCTCAGCGGTCTTCCTTTTTTTTTTTTTTTAACGTTTTTGAAAGGCAGTGGGTTCTATAGGTGAAAGCGCTATAAAGTAGATAACATGTCAGACGATCGAGTATCCCAGGAAATTCTCACTTGGTGTGCCAGCTGTACAGTCCTATATGGCATACATTTTTCATCGCTCTCTCAAGTTTAACCAGGAGTTCTATTGGTATCTTACTCTTTAGATGCAATTGGAAGAATCAACCTGGGTTTCTTTTTCTAAGAGTTGCATGGTGACCCTTTCAGCGGTGTAGAATTACTAAAATTGGAAGGACTTGGGAGAAAATAAACTTAAATGCTTTATTTGCTTTATGTTTAGAAAGGAATTTATGACGATGCACTCAGCAGTTTCTTCAGGAACGTGGATACCAGGTAAGGGGATGAGAGTCCTTCTCTGCATTGGCATTGATTCCTTCCTTTGGGGTCAGCAGAGTGGAAGGATTGCTTTCCAGGGTTCTGGAAGCAGTCCCTGGCTGAGATGGTGTCAGCCAGGTCTGCTGATGTGACTGAAGACCGTTCTCATGTCACATTTTCATACCTGCCAAGCAGCAGGCTTCCTTGACAGGCTTCAGTAAGGAACAAAAGGAGCCTTTAAAGAGACGGCATTAACTTTGGAATGATGTTTCAGTCAGAGAAACCTCATGAGTCGGTCATGTCATGGGTCGGTTTTCATTGACTATTTGACCTTAGAACAGAGTTTCTCAACCCATGGATTGAGATCCCTCAGGGTCCAACAACCCTTTCATGGGGGTCACAGGAAGAAGAGCTGCTCTGGGGAGGTGTTAGAGCAGTTCACTTACTAGGGGCCCTCAATATCCTCCCCCTCAAGTACGTGTTCGCAGATGTCTGGGTAATAGTCCTTTCGCATGCTTCTCTCACTAGTTCACTGCCATGCCTTCCTTTCTTTTTTTTTTAAATTTATTTATTTATTTGTTTATAAAAATTTCCACTTCCTCCCCTCCTCCCCAGACCCTCCCATTCCCCCCACTCCCTCTCCTCCTCCCTCTCCAGTCCTAAGAGCAGTCAGGGTTTCCTGCCCTGTGGGAAGTTCAAGTTGCTCCCCCCTCCCTCCAGGTCCAGGAAGGTGAGCATTCAAACAGACTAGGATCCCAAAAAGCCAGTACATGCAGACGAAAAAGACCTAGTGCCACTGTCAATGGCTTTTCAGTCAGCCCCCATGTCAGCCACATTCAGAGACTCCTGTTTGATCACGTGCTCATTCAGTCCCAGTCCAGCTGGCCTTGGAGCTCTCATTCGATCTGTCCCCTTGTGACAGAGGGTGAACGCACCCTCACGGTCCTGATTTCCTTTTTCATTTTCCCCTCCCTTCTGCTCCTCATTTGGACCTTGGGGGCTCAGTCCAGTGCTCCAATGTGGGTCTCCGTCTCTATCTCCATCTATCGTCAGATGAAGGTTCCCTCTGGTCCTGCCTTTCTTGCTCATGTTCTCCCTCCTCCTGCTTCTCATTTGGACCTAGGGAGTTAAGTCCAGTGTTCCAATATGTGTCTCTGTCTCTATCTCCATCCATCGCCAGATGAAGGTTCTATGGTGATATGCAAAATATTCATCAGTATGGTTATGGGCCAAGGCCAGTTCAGGCACCCTCTTCTCTGCTGCCCAGGGAACAATCTGGGGACCTCTCCTTGGGCCTGGGAACCCCTCCAGAATCAAGTCTCTTGCAAACCCTAAAATGGCTCCCTTAGTTGAGATATATACTTCCCTGCTCCCATATCCATCCTTCCTCCCTCCCCCCATCCCATTCCCCCAAGCCATTCCCAATCCTCTCCCTCTCCCTTCTCTCTAACCATCTCCCCTTACTTCCACCCCCCAGCCCCTCGTGCACCCAAGTTTGCCTGGCACTCTTGTCTACTTCCAATATCCAGGAGGATAACTATATGATTTTCTTCAGGTTCACCTTCTTATTTAGCTTCTCTGGGATCACGAATTATAGGCTCAAAGACCTTTAACTATGGCTAGAATCCACTTATGAGTGAGTACATACCATATTCCTCTTTTTGGGTCTGGGTTACCTCACTCAGTAAAGCGTTTTCTATTTCCATCCATTTGCATGCAAAATTCAAGATGTCATTGTTTTTTACCGCTAAGTAAAACTCTAATGTGTTCCACACCTTTTTTAACCATTCTTCTATTGAGGGGCACCTAGGTTGTTTCCATGTTCTGGCTATTACAAATAATGCTGCTATGAACAAGTTGAACAAATGCTTTTGTAGTATGACAGGTCATGTCTTGGGTATATTTCCAAGAGTGGAATTGCTGGATCCTGAGGGAGGTTGACTCCCAGTTTCCTGAGAAACCGCCACACTGATTTCCACAGTGGCTGCACAAGTTTGCATTCCCACCAACAATGGATGAGTGTTCCCCTCACTCCACATCCTCTCCAGCATAGGCTATCATTGGTGTTTTTGAGTTTGGCTATTCTGACAGGTGTAAGATGGTATCTCAAAGTTGTTTTGATTTGCATTTCCCTGATCGCTAAGAAGGTTGAACATGACCTTAAGTGCCTTTTGGCCATTCAAAGTTCATCTGTTGAGAATTCTCTGTTCAGTTCAGTACCCCATTTTTTATTTGGGTTAATTAGAGTTTTAGTGTCTAGTTTCTTGAGTTCTTGGTATATTTTGGAGATCAGACCTTTGTCTGATGAGGGGTTGGTGAAGATCTTCTCCCATTCAGAAGGTAGCCTTTTTGTGTTACTGACAGTGTCCTTTGCTTTACAGAAGCTTCTCAGTTTCAGTAGGTCCCATTTATTCATTGATTCTCTTATTGTCTGTGCTACTGGGGTTCTACTTAGGAAGTGATCTCCTGTGCCTATATCTTGTAGACTACTTCCCACTTTCTCTTCTATCAGATTCAAAGTGGACAGATTAATGTTGATGTCTTTAATCCATTTGGACTTGAGTTTTATGCATGGTGATAGATATGGATCTACTTTCATTCTTCTACAGATTGACATCCAGTTATGCCAGCACCATTTGTTAAAGATGCTTTCCTTCTTCCATTGCACACCTTTAGCTCCCTTGTCAAAAATCAGGTGTTCATAGGTTTGTGGGTTAATATCCGGGTCTTCTATTCGATTCCATAGGTCGACTTCTCTGTTGTTATGCCAATACCAAGCCGTTTTCAATACTGTTGCTCTGTAATAGAGTTTGAAGTCAGGGATGGTAATGCCTCCAGAAGTTCCTTTATTGTATAAGATTGTTTTGGCTATCCTGGGTTTTTTGTTTTGCCATATAAACTTGATTATTGTTCTCTCAAGGTCTGTGAAGAAGTTTGATGGGATTTTGATGGGGATTGCATTGAATCTATAGATTGTTTTTGGTAGAATTGCAATTTTTACTATGTTGATTCTCCCAATCCAAGAGCAGGGGAGGTCATTCCATTTTCTGGTATTTTCCTCAATTTCTTTCTTCAAGGACTTAAAGTTCTTGTCAAATAGGTCTTTCACTTCCTTGGTTAGAGTTACCCCAAGATATTTTATGCTATTTGTGGCTATCATGAAAGGTGATGCTTCTCTGATTTCCCTCTCTGCTTCTTTATCCTTTGTATATAGGAAGGCAACTGATTTTTTGGAGTTGATCTTGTATCCTGCCACATTACTAAAGGTGTTTATCAGCTGTAGGAGTTCTTTGGTAGAGTTTTTGGGGTCTCTTATGTACACTATCATATCGTCAGCAAATAACGAAAGTTTAACTTCATCCTTTCCAATTCGAATCCCCTTGATCCCCTTATGTTGTCTTATTTGTATTGCTAGAACTTCAAGCACTATATTGAAGAGGTATGGAGAGAGTGGACAGCCTTGTCGTGTTCCTGATTTTAGTGGAATGGCTTTGAGTTTCCATTCAATTTGATGTTAGCTGTTGGCTTGCTATATATTGCTTTTATTATATTTAGGTATGATCCTTGTATCCCCAATCTCTCCAACACGTTTATCATAAAGGGGTGTTGAATTTTGTCAAATGCTTTTTCAGCATCCAATGAAATGATCATATGGTTTTTTCTTTCAGTTTATTTATATGATGGATTACATTGATAGATTTGCGTATGTTGAACCAACCCTGCATCTCTGGGATGAAGCCCACTTGATCATAATGGATAATTTTTCTAATGTGTTCTTGGGTTCGGTTTGCCAGGATTTTATTGAGAATTTTTGCGTCAATGTTCATGAGTGAGATTGGCCTATAATTCTCTTTCTTGGTTGTGTCTTTATGTGGTTTTGGTATCAGGGTAACTGTAGCTTCATAAAAAGAGTTTGGCAATGACTCTTCTGTTTCTATATTGTGAAATACATTAAGGAGTGTAGGTATTAGCTCTTCCTGGAAGTTCTGGTAGAATTCTGCATTGAAACTATCTGGCCCTGGGCTTTTTTTGGTCGGGAGGTTTTTGATAACAGCTTCTAATTCTTCGCGACTAACAGGTCTATTTAGATTGTTCACCTGGTCTTGATTTAACTTTGGTAAATTGTATTTATCTAAAAACCAATCCATTTCTTGTACATTTTCCAACTTTGTGGCGTATAAACTTTCATAGTAAGATCTAATGATTCTCTGAATTTCCTCTGTGTCTGTGGTTATGTCCCCCTTTTCATTTCTGATCTTGTTAATTTGCGTGTTCTCTCTCTGCCATTTGATTAGTTTGGATAGGGGTTTGTCAATCTTGTTGATTTTCTCCAAGAACCAACTTTTTGTTTCGTTGATTCTTTGGATTGTTTTCTGTGTTTCTATTTTGTTGATTTCAGCCCTCAGTTTGATTATTTCCAGTCTTCTACTCCTCCTGGGTGAGTCTGCTTCTTTGTTTTTCCAGAGCTTTCAGGTGTGCTGTTAAGTCTCCAATGTGTGCTTTCTCCATTTTCTTTAATTGGACACTTAGTGCTATGAACTTTCCTCTTAGCACTGCTTTCATTGTGTCCCATAGGTTTGAGTATGTTGTGTCTTTATTTTCATTAAATTCAAGGAAGACTTTAATTTCTTTCTTTATTTCTTCCTTGACCCAGGGATGATTCAGTAGTTGACTGTTCAACTTCCACGCGTTTGTAGACTTTCTGGTGTTCGAATTGTTATTGAATTCTAAGTTTATTCCATGGTGATCCGACAAGACACAGGTGGTTACTAATATTTTTTTGTATCTGTGAAAGTTTGCTTTGTTACTGAGTATGTGGTCAATTTTCAAGAAGGTTCCATGAGCTGCAGAGAAGAAGGTATATTCTTTCCTATTTGGGTGGAATGTTCTATAGATGTCTGTTAAGTCCATTTGATTCAATACCTCCAATAATTCTCTTATTTCTCTGTTAGGTTTCTGTCTGATTGACCTGTCCATTGGTGAGAGAGGTGTGTTGAAGTCTCCTACTATTAGTGTGTGTGGTTTGATGACTGCCTTGAGTTCTACAAGTGTTTCTTTTTCATAAGTGCGTGGCTTTATATTAGGGGCATAGATATTCAGGATTGAGACTTCTTCCTGATGGATTGTTCCTGTTATGAGTATGAAATGTCCATCTCCGTCTCTTCTGATTGATTTTAGTTTGAAGTCGATTTTGTTAGATATTAGAATGGCCACACCCGCTTGTTTCTTAGGTCCATTTGCTTGGAAAACCTTTTCCCAACCCTTTTTACCCTGAGTAGGTGTCTGTCTTTGTGGTTGAGGTGTGTTTCTTGTAAACAGCAGAATGTTGGATCCTGTTTTCATATCCAATCTCTACGTCTGTGCCTTTTTATAGGTGAATTGAGTCCATTGATATTAAGTGATATTAATGACCAGTGGTTGTTGACTCCGGTTATTTTTTTTTGGGGGGGGGGTAGTAGAGTATATGTGTTTCCCTTCTTTGCATTGTGCTTGTGAAGGGTTGCTAGATATCTGAGTTATTGTAGGCAGTGTTGGGAATGTTGGATTCCTTGGGTTGTGATTTTCCTTCTAATACTTTCTGTAAGGCCAGATTTGTAGCTACGTATTGTTTAAATTTTTTTTTTATCCTGGAATATTTTGTTTTCTCCTTTGATAGTGAACGATAGCTTGGCTGGGTATAGTAGTCTGGGCTTGCATCCATGGTCTCTTAGTTTCTGCAGTACCTCTATCCAGGACCTTCTGACTTTCATGGTTTCCATAGAGAAGTCTGGTGTAAGTCTGATAGGTTTACCTTTATAAGTTACTTGACCTTTTTCCTTTGCAGCTCTTAATACTCTTTCTTTAATCTGAATGCTTTGTGTTTTGATTATTATATGGTGAGGGGATGGTTTTTTTTTTGTTTTTGTTTTTGGATCCAGTCTATTCGGTGTTCTGTATGCTTCTTGAACCTTCATAGGAATATCATTCTTTAGGTTGGAAAAGTTTTCTTCTATAATTTTGTTGAATATATTTTCTGGGCCTTTGATCTGCAATTCTTCTCCTTCTTCTCCCCCTATTATTCTTAGATTTGGTTTTTTTATTATGTCCCAGATTTCCTGAATGTTTTGTGATGAGAATTTTTTGGATTTGCTGTTTTCTTGGTCAGAGCATTTATTTTCTCTATGGTGTCTTCATAATCTGAGATTCGTTCTTCTATCTCTTGTATTCTATTGGTTATGCTTGTTTCTGAAGTCTCTGTTTGTTTACCTCGATTTTCCATATCCAGCTGGCCCTCGGTTTGTTTTCTTCATTGCCTTCATTTCCGCTTTCAATTCTTGAACTGTTTCCATTACCTGTTTGATTGTTTTTTCTTGGTTTCCCAGGGTGTCGTTTACGGATTTACTCAGTTCTTCAAACCTTTTGTTTTATTTCTCTTCCATTTCTTTACTCATTTCTTCAATCTTTTTGTTATACTTCTATTCCACTTCTTTAAGTAAGTTATTCATACCCTGTTTAAGGGACTCTATTGCTTTCATAATGGCACTGTTTTCCACTTCTTCCGGAACAGGGTGTTCAAGTCCTTCTGTAATAAGATCGCTGGGATCTGGTGTTTTCATGTTGTTTTTCAGATTGTTGGAGGAATTCTTGCCTTGGCGTCTGCCCATCTCTTCCTTCACATGTTCTCTAATGGATCTTCTGGTACTGGGTCAGGTTTCCCCCTCTGATGAATCTTCTGCTAGAGGATCAGCGCCCCTTGCTGGCCATGATTCTTGCTGAGCTGATGTAGGGCCTACATTTCCACCACAGCACGCCTTCCTTTCTTGATCATCGCGTCTTACATAGTTTGATTACATGGTTGAGTAGAACTAGATAGGTCATGCGAGGGGACTAAGAGAGAGGCAGAGGTGGAGGCAGGAGGTCAATATGTAACATGAAAACAGGAAGGAAGCTTCGGGGAGAGAAACAAAAACAGAAATGTTTGAAAAATAATATAATGAAACCAAATTCTTTGCTAGTTAATAAAATAAAATTTATTACATATTTGACAGTCTGAGGGTTTTCATGTAATTCTCATCCACCTTGTGGGTCATATACTTTTAAATGAAAGCAGTGTATTTCCTCAGTCTAGAGTTTGGAGAGGACGGAAAGGCATGGGCATCTCTCTTCTGTGGTGTGTGTTCCAGCCTCTGTTCCACAGGTGTAGTACCCAAAAACCCTTATGAAAACTGCTACCACATCTTTGTATACACCTGCCTATCAAATTAATCCTTTTTAACGACATGATATATATACCAATATATACCAATAGTATATATACCAATAGTGAAGGCACAAGAAAACAGATAGGAAATAGTTGGACACTTTTCAGAGCATAAGGTCTTGTTGCAGGTATTCGTCTGTCTTCATGGATAATAGCACATGAACAAATGGAGATGGCTGCATTTAAACAAAATTCCCTTTAGCAAAGCAGGCAACTGATTGGCGTTGGCCTGGGGATTATAGTTCGCTTACTGCTGGCCTGAAATACCTGTGTTTAATCAGCTCCTCGTCTCGCCTCTGTCTTGTGAATTATATTGACCTATACGCTATGCTTATTCTTAGGTTCTAGAAATGGACTGAGTGGTATGTAGTCTTATATCATTTGATGTGTTGGCTGCAGCAGAATCGCTAATTAACAGTAATTTAAACAAGAAAAATACCCAGTTATCTCACAAAACTGCCAGCCTCAAAGACATAGATACTGAGGTTGGCAAGGTGGCGCAGCAGGTCAGGGGCTTGCTGCCAAGCCGAGGACTTGAGTTTGAGTCACCTGGACCAGTATGGCAGAAGGGGAAAATGAAAGCGAACACTACCAGTCCTGGAAAGTCTTATGACCCTTTCTCAATTTCTTTTTGTTTCAGAGTGGGTGGTGATGGCAGCAGTATTTCCAAAGGAAGAATATCCTCTTTAAAAGCACGAGTAAGATGCATTTTCTGGGGTTCTTACTTTGTAACATGGCAGTAAAATTTGAGTTAATTGTTTCTCTGCAAGTTTGTCTTTCCCTTCTGGTTGTTGGTTGGTAGTCTTTGATTATAAGAAAAGGAAAGGTTAACCAGGTATTGGTGGTGCATGCCTTTAATCTTACAATAGATTACATGAAGAAACATTTTAATTAACCTTAAATTGTGAAAAAGAACAGTATAACTTACAACTCATGAATTCTTGAAGTTATAAATTACTAGAGAAAATATTCCAAATTGAAATTCTCTTTTTCCAGGCAGTTTTGATTGACATGGAAGAAGGAGTAGTTAATGAAATTCTCCAGGGACCGCTGAGAGATGTGTTTGATAGCAAGCAGCTCATCACTGATATTTCTGGCTCGGGAAACAATTGGTGAGCACATACTCAGTGTCATTTGAAGAAGTTGAGCATTCCGTGCCTTGTCCTAATAGGTCCTGCTGTAATGAAAGCAAAGTGCAATTTGCCACACAAAAGTATCTGCCTCGTCTTTTAATAATTAATTAGTTGATGATGATGCTTTATGATGCCCAGAAGCTGCCAGGATTTACTTTCAATTCTACTTCTGCTTTTTTTTAAATAGAAAATTAATCATGAGAAATTGATACCCTAAATTCTTAAATGTTTTAAGTACTTTTAAAAATTATTCATATTCAGCAGCAACACTAATTGCAAAAAGCCCACAAACTCATGAAGACTGAACAATGCTCAAGTGAATGACCACTGGGTCAAGGAAGAACTAAAGAAATTAAACACTTCCTAAAATTTATTGAAAATGACCACATAACATATCCAAACTTATGGTACACAATAAAAGCAGTGCTAAGAGGAAAGTTCAAGCACTAAATGCCTGCATAAAGAAGTTAGAAAAATCCCACACTAGCAAATTAAAAAAGATACCTGAAATCCCAGAACAAAAAGAAGCAAACTAGCCAGAAAGGCTAGACAACAGGAAATAATCAAACTGAGAGTTAAAATCAACAAAATAGAAACAAAACAATACAAAGAATCTATGAGACAAAGAGTTAGTTCTTCAATAAAATCAACAAAATAGACAAACTTTTATCTACACTAACCAAAAGGCAGAGAGAGAGTATGCAAATTAATAAATCAGAAATAAAACGGGGACATAAGAACAGACATTGAGGAAATCCACGAAATCATCAGATCATACTTCTAAAACCTGTACTCCACAAAATTGAAAAGCTTAAAGGAAATGGGTGATATTATAGTATACATAAGTGACCTCAAAAATTCTACCAGGGAACTCCTAAACTAATAAACAAATTCAGTAATATAGCAGGATACAAGATCAACTCAAAAAAAAAAATTCAGTAGCATTCCTTTATACAAATGATAAACAGGCTTAAAATGAAATCAGAGAAACATCACCTTTACAACAGCCACAAATAAGATAAAATATCTAGGGGTAACTTTAACCAAACAAGTGAAAGACCTGTATGACAAGAACTTTAAATCATTGAGGAAAGAAATCAAAGATAACAACAGAAAAATGGAAAGATCTCCCATGCTCTTGGATAGGTAGAATTAACATAGTAAAAATGGCAGTCTTACCAAAAGCAATCTACAAATCCAATGCAATATCTATCAAAATCCCAGCAAAATTTTTCACAGATCTTAAAAGAATAATATTCAACTTCACATGGAAAACTTTTTTAAAAAACTTAGGATAGCCAAAACAATCCTGTACAATAAAGAAATTTCTGGAAGTATCACAATCCCTGACTTCAAACTCTAACATAGAGCTATAGTATGAATCCCATCACTCAGGAGATAGAGGCAGGCAGATCTCTGTGAGTTTGAGACCAGGCTAGTCTATAAGAGCTAGTTCCAGGACAGCTAGGACCGTTATACAGAGAAACCCTTTCCCGAAAAACCAAAAAACAGGTTGGAATTGGCATAAAAATAGACAGGATGACCAATGGAATAGAATCAAACACCTGGATATCAATCTACACACCTACAAACACCTGATAAAATGAAAAAAAAAAGCATCTTCAACAAATGATGCTGGCATAATTGGATATTGACATGTAGAAGAATGTAAATAGATCCTTATCTATTGCCATGCAGAGAACTCAAGTCCAAGTGGATTGAAGACCTCGACATAAAACTGACTACACTGGCTCTCACAGAAGAAAAAGTGGGAAGTTCTCTTGAGTGCATTGGCACAGGAGACTGCTTCCTAAATATACCTCCAGTGGCAGAGACACTGAGACCAACAGTTAATAAATGGGACCTCCTGAAACTGAGAAGCTTCTATAAAGCAAAGAACACAGTCAACAAGACAAAACGACAGCCTGCAGAATGGGAAAAAATCTTCAACCCCACATCTGACAGCAGGCTGGTCTCCAAAATATACAAAGAACTCAAAAATTTAGACATCAAAAGAACAAATAATTGCCAGGTGGGGGACTTGAGAGGGAGAGGCAAGCGGATCTCTGTGAGTTAAAGGCCAGCCTGGTCTACAGGAGCTAATCCCAGGGCAGGCTCCAAAACTACAGAGAAACCCTGTCTCAAAGGAAAAAAAAACAAAAATAATTCACTAAGAAAATGAGGTATAGACCTAAACAGAGAACTCTCAACAGTGAACTCTCTAATAGCCGAAAGATGCTTAAGGACATGCTCAACCTTCTTCCTTATCCATCAGAGAAATACAAATCAAAACAACTCCGAGATACTATCTTTAACCTGTCAGAATGCCAATATCAAAAAATGTTTATGCTAGAGAGGATGTGGAGTAAGGGGAACTGTCTGGGACCAGCCTCAACAAAAATGCCACTTGCCATGGTGGGGGCATGGGGATCCAAAAAATAAGTAAAGAATAAGAAGACATGAATAAAACAGAAAACCTAGGATAGTGCTGGGAGGCAGTTCCAGTGAATACTGAAATCACCCATGTTTAATTTTCCATACACTTTTATACCCTGATACAAAAGGGGGAAGAAGGAACAAAAAGACTTCTTTAACATGATACAAAGGACAACTCAAGCAGTTAATTGCTTTAACACTTTGAGACATCAAATCATTAGCATTCTGCTCTTCGGACTGTAAAGCCACCCTAGACCAAGTATCCTGAAGGCAGCCACTCCCCAGGTAACCTTCTATTACCAAAGAAGGAGCAGAAGTATGCTTACATATCCTGACCATCTATCAGGGTAGAGTGGATCTATCTGTATGACCATCTTAATGTCAAAAGAACCAAGTAACCACATCCTGAGTAAGGATGTGTAGCCCTGATTGTTGTCATCAAGTTTGAGTAACCTCCAAACTCTCTGATCATCCAACAAGGTGGAAATAGGCTCACATTTTTGGGCCTCCACAGGGAACACTCCCCCATTGCTGGTGGGAATGCAAACTTGTACAACTGCTTTGGAAATCAGTATGGCGGTTTCTCAGAAAATTAGTGCTCAAATCTACCTCAAGGTCCAGCAATACCACTTTTGTGTATATACCCAAAGAATGCTCAATCATATCACAAGGGCATTTGCTCAACTATGTTCACTGTAGCATTATTGTAATAGCCAGAACCTGGAAACAACCTGGGTGCCCCTCAACTGAAGAATGGATAAGGAAAATGTTGTACATTTACACAATGAAGTACTACTCAGCGGTAAAAAACAATGACATCTTGAACTTTGCAGGCAAATGGACGGAACTAGGAAGAAAAAAAAAACATACAGAGTAACCTAGACCCAGAAAGACAAATATGTATTCACTCAAGGGGCTTCTAGACATAAAGAAAAAAACTAGCCTACAGTCTACAACCCTAGAGAACCTAGACAACAGAGAAGACCCTAAGAGTGACATATATGGATTCGCCTAGGAAGGAGAAAAGGACAAGATCTCCTAAATAAATTGGGAATGTGGAGGACAGAGGGAAGAGTGGAAGGGGACAGAGTGGAAGGAAAGAGTGGAGAGAAATGTATAGCTCAAAACAGATAAAATTTTTTAAAAAAAATGGCTATGCAGAATATTAAATGCAGTTTTGACATGATGGCAAAAAGGGTAAATATTTGTAATTTTTTAAGAATAACTTTTTAAAAGTCTATGCTGTTTTAGAGTCAAAATTTGCCTGAGGGTGGTAACAATTCATTACCTTATTTGATTCTTCAACTTCTCCTGTTGGTCTAAATCAGTAGATGTAAGGCCGTATGTTATACAGGCCCGTATGTCTACATTGTATGGCAGCCAGACTCTCAGGCCATAGTTTGCACCTGGCCTCACAGAAGGCAGTCACCTAGCCTTTTGAGAAAACCTAACAGAGGGTAGCATATGCTAATGTTATTCTGCTCCCTTGTAATTTGGAGGATGCTTGGGAAAGAGATGTTCATTGAGCCTACGTGACAAAGCTGGCATACAGAGTAGGAAGATGTGACAGAGAGGGCATAGAAAGGTGTGAATGTAACTAAAGCCATTTACTTGGTTACCTAGGAACAGAATGCTAATGAATTACCCCCTCAGTTTACGTTTTGGTATAAAAGCTGTTTAGAGATTAAACACGGGCGAATTTTCAGGATGCGAACTTAGGATTTCATGAGGGATCTCTGAGAATCTCCCTTCCGATAAAGCCACGTGAGTTGTGTCTTTATTCCCATGCCTCCCCTCTGGTCCAGAGAAATAATTTATGGTCCAGGCTGGTACCGGACTCCTACAAGTAGAATTAACAGATCCAAACCAAACCAGGATCCTCCTATCCAGTCTGATACAGGCTGTCTTATATATGTGACCTCTTTATGGAGAAAGCCACGCCCAATAGTTAAAGTTTAATTCACATGGATTTGTTGTTGTTACTTTAAAATTAATTTGCTTCATGTTGTTTGTTCTGGTGTATAGTTTATTAAAGCATGAATTTGAATTCCATGTGTCAGGAAACCAGGGACCAGTCACTTAAGAAATGAGCCTACCTGACCACCCACCTAGCCTTCCCCTGGTTGTGTATAATCATTATGTAATGTTTGCAGTGTGCGAAGCTGTGTGTAACGGGGAGATCTTTTTACCTTGTGTTGTATCACAGTGGTGCTCCAAGATGTGATTAACAAAGACAGCTCAGACTCTTCACTGCCATTTCATCTCCTAAGTGATATGACCAGCTTTTCCCATTTTAAACCAGATAAATTAGTTTGAAATTTTTCATTTTGTTATGTTGAGCTGACCTCATTCTTTTTAATATGTAAATTCACTGTGGTTCAGAGTTTAGTTTAAATGGAAACAAAATAGCTAAATTCTTATTTTTTTATAATTTATCTGGAGAAAATTGAAAATACAATTAGAAAACAATAGGTTACTTACCAGTATTTTTGAGAATTTTTGGTATGTAATCAATCTATAATAAATAGAATTTATTACGTGAAAGAATAGATTTCTTAGTACAATTTAAATAGTTTCTTCATTTTTGTTCAATCTTTATTTAGAGTAGTAATAATAAAATCATCAAGTAATAAATCAGGGAATTCTTTTTTTTTTAATCTGTGTTCTTATTTTCAGGGCTGTGGGTCACAAGGTTTTTGGAAGTCTTTACCGGGAACAGATTCTAGAGAAGCTCCGCAAGTCAGCAGAGCAGTGTGACTGTTTGCAGTGTTTCTTCGTCATACACTCCATGGGAGGAGGTAGGAATCACTCATTTGCCTGTAAGGAAGTTGCATGTAAGTGGGAATTCATTTTGCAAATATCAGTCTTATTTTTAGATCAGGCAGGCATGTTCAGCCTTTTCACACTGAGACACAGTATCAACTAGAGGCTTCGTGCTCAAGCACCATGTGCAGAAAAACCACCTCATAATGCTTCACATACCGTGTTGGGCCACATTCATAGCTAGCCTAGAGTACATACGACCCATGAGGTAGACTGGATTTACCTGATAGGTATATGTATGCTGCAGTGTTTGTATATTTCATCTTAAAAGTTTGTGAAGTTGGGGCTAAGATAACTTACTGAAAAATAAAATGTTTATGCCACAAGCATGAGGACCTGAGTTTGAGCCTCAGAGCCCACATAAAAAGGCTGGGTGTGGAGGCACATGCTTGTAATTTCAGGGAGCAAGAGACAGATGAGCCCCGGGGTTCGCTGGACAACCAACTCCAGGTCAGTGGGAGACTGTCTCAAGCAAAGTGGTGGATAGCACTTGAAAAATACCTGGTATTGTCTTTTGGCCTCCATATGTACACATACCTGCAGTACATGAGCACATACACAAAGAAGTATGGAAACATAAAGAAGCATGTACACACATATAAAACATTGTGAGAATCTCACTATGAACCTATTTTTCTTTTTTTAATTTTGAATATTTTTTCAGTTTTAGATTCTCTTGTAATATTTCAAACACACTTCAGCATGCATGCACTTTTGAGAGATGCTTCTTTGTTCCTATATCCCAAGTGGAGTTGAACTTTTCTTTTTCATGTTCTTATGTTACTTGCCATTATGAGGATACTAATAACTCTTTTATTAACCACCTTCAAACCTTCCCACACCTCCCTGCAATAAGAAAACTGAAGATAAAAGAAATGACTTCAGTCAGTTACTTAAAGAGCACTCATTTCACAGTAGTAATTGCTGAGCTTGAAGCATGGTCTGCATTGCTTTGTGTTCCCAGATGAGTCTCTAATTTGGAATGGAAGTATTTTGCTCTCCTGTTCATTAAAAAGAAACAAGATTAGTGTGCTAATTTTAAAATGGTAATTAACAAGGTTTGGAAGAAAAAATTAACATCCTTTTCTTCCTAAAACTGAGATTAAAATTTTACATTCTGAGGCTTGCAAAAATGACATTGTCATATACAATGTTCCCAGTGAAGAACTGGGTAATACAGTTATAGAAGGTGGGGGAAGGGCAGGCCCAAGGCCCACATGATACACCCACCTGGGAGTTTTGGCTCCACATTTTAACGTAATAAATTACATATGTGTATAAACACAATTCAGAAAACTACTTATCCATTTACTTTTGACACATTGCTACTTTCTCCTGTTTCAACTTAAAAAGCACTCTTACTAGCTTTATCACTGAGTATCATAGAAGTAAGCTATAGAAGTAAGCTATAGAAGCCACTGTTTTCCTTTAAGTCCTTAAAATTTTCTAAATTTGTATAATGTGACTTTAGACATTAAATTATTAATGAGATTTCCAGGGTTTCTTCATTTAAATGGACATTGGGAACATGTTGTGTTTGAAACTTTGTAAACAAGATGAACATATTTTATTGGGTGTTTGAAGTTTCTTGATGACATGATAGTTTTCTGTGTCATTGAGACAATATGTATCTTGAGACCAAAGTGTTGTGCCCAGATTATGACCCCCAGAGAGAAACCACCAGAGAGGCCCAGATTGTAATAAGCAAGGTTTAATTAGCGTAATATAAACATGTTTGGAATCTATCTCTGACCCCGCTGCAGTGAGGTAGAGAGGAGTCGTATCTCCTCTGTGGGGTAAGCTTTTAAAGGCATAACTACAAAGAGACTCTTTGAAGCTGCTTTGGCAGGGGTGCAAGGACTTTTGCTCCCTCCTATCCTGCTAAGTCAGCTTTGTCCTTGTTCTTAGAGCAAGGCCATCTTTATCAGCCTGTACCAGGTGGCTGGCTGGGCTAAGTGACTTTGTGCTTGGAATCTCCCGGGTGGGAGAGGTGAAGGCCACTATCTTCCTGGGAAAACATTCTGTTAGGAAATTTCTTCTCGCCCCTTTGAGAATAAGGGGTGGACAAAAGCTGTCAATTTTGTTTTTGTTTTTTAAGTTGCTTTTATCAGGAATACTGGATGCTCTCTTAGTTGAATTTTTCATATTCAGTTTATTTGTTTTCTGGTGTAGGAGTTCCTTCTGTTTTGTGTTGCTTTCATTGGTTAATGAGTAAAGAAACTGCCTTGGCCTAGTTGATAGGGCGGAACTTAGGTAGGTGGAGAAGACAGAACTGAATGCTGGGAGGAAGAAGGGCAGAGTCAGAAGCCATGGATCCACTGCCTGAGATGAACGCCAGTTAGAATCTCCAGTAAGCCACGGCCACATGGCAATACACAAATTAATGGAGATGGATTAAACGAATATGTAAGAGTTAGCCAGTAAGTTAGAGCTAATAGGCCAAGCAGTGTTTTAATTAATACAGTTTCTGTGTGGTTATTTCGGGTGTAAGCTCGCTGGGCAGCCAGGACGAACAAGGGACCCTCTCCTTGTAACAGTTATATAATGACTTAAATACAAAAGAAGATTAGAGAAAGCCATCCCAGACTCATGCTCAGAACCTGAAATGGAATTCTCCACCTCAGCCTTGAAGCCTTGCCTGTGTGTAAAAGGAGCAGCGGGCTGCATTCCCACCTGGATCCCAGCTAGCTTACCCCGAAATAATTACACGGAAACTGTATTCATTTAAACACTGCCTGGCCCGTTATCTGTAGCCTCTTATTGGCTAACTCTTACATACTGATCTAACCCATTTCTAATAATCTGTGTAGCACCACGAGGTGGTGGCTTACCGGGAGGATTCTAACCCGTATCCATCTCGGAGAGGAGAGTCATGGCGACTGCCTCACTGCCTTCTTCCTCCCAGCATTCTGTTCTGTCTACTCCACCCACCTAAGGGCTGGCCTATCAAAAAGGCCAAGGCAGTCTCTTTATTAACCAATGAAAGTAACAATAGACAGAAGGCCCACCTACATCACCTGTGCTCTCTGGGTCCTTCAGAATTAGACTTCAAACCGTTTGTGTTATTTGTTGTTTTCTTCTTAAAACGTCGCTTCTCAGGAACAGGATCTGGACTTGGCACGTTTCTGCTAAAGGTGCTCGAAGATGAATTCCCAGATGTGTACAGATTTGTGACAGCGGTTTATCCTTCGAGTGAGGACGATGTCATCACCTCGCCTTACAACAGCATGCTGGCCATGAAGGAACTGAATGAGCACGCAGACTGTGTGCTGCCCATTGACAACCAAGTAAGAAATGGTACTGGACTCCGGACATATTTTATATTCATTCAGTTCTGTGTTATATACATGCATTTGTGTTTGTTCAGTATTCTCTTCAGTTTTTAACCTTCTCTAAGAGAAAGAATAAGTTTGAATTGTTTTTCTTTTCTTGCCTAGTAAAATGCCATCTAAATGATTCACTAGTAGTTTCTCACCCAATATTATTTTTTTTTCTCAAGTCTTTATTTGACATCATTAGCAAAATTGATCTTGTAACTTCTGGCAAGTTGGGTGCAGCTGTGAAGCCTAAGAGTCTAGTTACCACGAATATGGGGACTGTTACAAAGTGCCCCAAGAAGCCTTTTGACGCAATGAACAACATTGTGGCCAATCTGCTCCTCAGCCTGACAAGGTAACCCTCTCAGGATGCTGGCAAAGTCACTGTACCTTTGCAGTGTTTACTTTAGTGGTGTTTTATTCTTTTGTTTGATTTGGGGACACTGTTAAATCCAGTTCTTGAATGTGTTGAAACAAGCACTGAACCACTTGGCTAGGGGCCCAGCCTAGTTGCTTTTATTTGGTTGTTCTAAGTTGTAGGAGCTTCTTTTATAGTTTTTCTGTCCAGATTTGTCTGACACGTTTTTATTAGTTCTACGAGAATTTCTTACAACATAATTTGGTCATACTAACCCTCTAAGCCCTCCTCCTGCCCAACTTTGTGTCTGATTTTTGTTTCCATCAAGGCCAATTTTTGCTACTCATTTTGTGTTGTGTTTTCATGTGTTAAGCCAGCATTTCTCCAAGGTTGTTACTTGGAGCACTAGTGGGAGTTCCATGCTCAGCAGCCTCTTGTAGATGTGCTGCCATGCTGTGAACCAGCTAATCTATACATCTTTAGAGACAAAACATTTTCATGTCTTGGGTCTCAAATCTTTCAAGCAGTTAAGATTGATTATGATTTTATGATTATGAGTATATTAATCAAACCCTTAATAAATATAGTAAAAATTTCCACATTAAGCACTGGTCCTGTAGGTGTTGAACTCATTATGTCTATTTAAATAAGATACTCTTGCTTGTATAATAAACAAGTATAGTAGATGTTGCTTGCACATTAGAAATCTGGAAATAAGAATTGCTAAGAAGGAATATGAGAAGATTACCTGCTGAATTATGGTTTTTAAGTGAAAACATTTCTCATTGTTCTAATGTTGGCCTTTTAGCTCTGCAAGATTTGAGGGATCCCTTAATATGGACTTGAATGAGATCAGTATGAACTTGGTTCCTTTCCCTCAGCTTCATTATCTTGTGTCAAGCCTTACACCTCTGTACACTCTGGCAGATGTGAACATTCCCCCTCGAAGGTAAGGTAGAACTGGCTTCCATTTTCCTGAGAACTTGAAGTGAAATTTCAGCGAAAAAAAGTTTATATTAACTCAGATTATTTATATCTTTTTTTGGTGAGAATCTTATAAAATGTAGTTAGTGACAGTCGTTTTTTATTAGGCAAATATTTATTTAGAAGTAAATCATTTTAAAATGTAGTATTAAACTGAAGCCAAACTTGATAACTAAATTTTTTGACTTTTGAAAATTAATAGAATCTGGCAGGCTTGAATTCTGATTCTGTTGCTAGTTGTAGGATCTTGGGCAAATGTCGTAAATTCTTCATCTTACTGTTTGTGGGGTAGACGAAATGGTATCTTTTAAAGTTCTTAACCACAGCCAAGCACCATAGAAGGCTTTATATGTATTGCATATTATCTTCAAACCAGCTTGAAGATGTTTTCAAGGCCAAACTTGATAGCACTCGCCTTTAATCCCAGCTCTCAGGAGGCAGAGATAGACAGATCTCTTACGAGTTTGAGGCCAGCGTGGGCTAGTGGATCTGGCAAGTGATGTGCCAGATCCACATGGTGAGATCCTGTCTCAAAAAATAAAAGTGAAAAAATGTCTTTAGGCTGGCGTGGTTGTACATACCTGTAGTACTAGCACTTGGGGACCAGGCCAGTCTGGGATACACAGTGAGATTATCTCAAAAAATTACAAATAACAAAGTAGCTGAGATGTTGCTCAGTTAGTAGAGTGCTGCCTAGCATTCATGAAGCCCTGGGAACCCCCAGAACCCACATAGATGGCTCATAGCTATCTGTAACTCCAGTTCCAGGGGTTCTGGCACCTCTTCTGGTCTCCAGGATCACCAGGCATGCCTGTGTGGTGCAGACAAACACATGGCTTAAACAGATAACATAAATGAATGAATGAATGAATGAATGATTTTTTTTAAAAAAGAAAAGATGCTTTTAGCTTATACAGTGATGATGAGCTTCAAAGGCTCACACTGGTATTTGCTGTGGGTGACTGTAAATTAGAGGAGAAATTAAAAATACTTTTTTATTACTATCTTTATTACATTTTTAAATTTTTATTTTGTGTGTGCCTTGGTGTGTTTGAGGAACAGAAAACACCTTGTTGGATTCAGTTCTCTCCATCATGGAGTCCTGGGAATTGAATCCAGGTTGCCGGGCTTGATAGCAAGCACCTGCTGAGCCATCTTGTGGGCCCAAAGGGTTGTTTTGTTGTTGTTTTAAGGTTTTTATTTTAATTTAATTTAAGTGTATGAGTGAGTGTGTATGTGAGCGTGAGTGCAGGTGCCTACAGATCCCCTGGAGGGGAGCTGCTCTCTGTGGGTACTGGGACTTGAACTCGGGCCCGCTGCAGAGCAGTACACGCTCCTAACCATGGAGCCATCTCACAAGCCCTCAGAAATCTCTTTTTACAATTAAAGTTTTGGTAACAGTTCTATACTTCAGGGGTATTACAAGTGATGCTAATAAACTTTATTTTAGCAAAAGGGCCGTTGGCGCCAGCATCTGCCAGGGATCCCATAATGATCTCAGCAGGGGAAGCAGTGTGTGGTGTATGGGTTGTGATCGCTGATTGTTCACTGCACATCAGCACATCCTGGTTAAAGGTGAGCGCTTTGATGTGGACATCGAATGAATACTGGTAGTAAATTTTTTTTCTCCCATTTTTTTGGAGGCAGGACTTCTCTTTGTGGTTCTGGCTGTCCTGGAAACTCTTGCTCTGTAGACCAGGCTGGCCTCAAACTCAGAAGTCCGCTGACCTCTGCCTCCTGAGTGCTGGGATTATTAAAGGCACGTGCCACCATGCCCAGCAGTAGTAAACTAGTATTAAGTGAATTTTTTATATTTAAAGTTAATCTTTATTTCTAAGTTCAGCATAATGAAAAAGGAATGTGTTTGACTTGATCCTCTATTTTAAATATTTCAAAGTCAGTGAACTATTCTGTAATCTGCTTGGTATATTTTGTTATAAATATTACTTGTATCAACATTTTAATTTTAATTGTGATAGTTTGTGGTAGTTGATATTCTTTAAAGTTTTAGTAAAAATCCACAAGGACCTTTTAAAATGTTATTCTAATTTGTCATGATGTCCTTTTCTGTTGTTAGGGTTTAATGGGTTTATTTTCTTTGTTTCCGACATCTACTCTACTATAGGTAACCCAGGAGCTGCATACCAGTGTATATTTTCTTTCTATGGCTATGTTTATGGAAAGGGACACATTCTGTGTAAACAGTGGTGCTTTCCTGTTGTAGATTGGACCAGATGTTTTCGGATGCCTTTAGTAAAAATCACCAGCTCATCCAAGCAGACCCCAGACATAGTCTCTACCTCGCCTGTGCCCTCATCGTTAGAGGAAACGTACAGATTTCAGATCTTCGCAGAAATATTGAAAGGTTTGGCTTTTATTTTTAAGATAATTCACGTGAACAGGTTGGGGCAGTGTAGTGCATAGTAGTGAAGACAGCCTCTGTGGAGGTTACAGTAAACTGTAACCTGTAAGAACAGTAAACTGTGGCTCCCTAGTACAGAGCACCAAGGGAGACATGGGTGTTCCTCATACTGTTGCATGGTGCTGCCCCTTTGTGTGTGTTTCATTTTTAAAGCAATCTTATTTTACATACCAGTCCCAGTTCCCTCTCCCTTCTGTCCTCCTTCTCCCCCCACCTTTTCTCCACCCCACCCCTCATACACTCCTCAGAGAGGGTGAGGCTTCCCATGGGCAGTCAAGAAAGTCTGTCACATCACATTAAAGCAGGACCTAGCCCCTCGCCTCTGTATCTAGACTGAACAAGGTATTCCTCCATAGGGCATGGGCTCCAAAAAGCCAACTCTTGCACTAGGGATAAATACTGCTTCCACTGCTAGTGGCCCCATAAACTGCCCAAGCCACACAACTGTCACTCAGGTTCAGAGGGCCTAGTTCAGTTCTCTGCAGGTTCCCCAGCTGTCATTCCAGAATCCGTGAGCTCCCACTAGCTCAAGTCAGCCCTTTCTGTGAGTTTCCCCTTCGTGGCTTTGGGCCCTTTGCTCGTAATACAGCTCCTCACTCTCTATGGCTGGACTCCAGGAGTTTGGCCCAGTGCTTACCTGTGAATCTCCGCATCTGCTTCCATCAGTTACTGAATGAAGGTTCTAGATGCTGCCAGTTTTGAAGACAGATGGCAGATTCCAGACGACACAGTTAGACCTATGCTTCTACTGATGTCCTTGTTTTGCTAATGTGAACTGAGCTGCTATGTAATGTCGTTCTTTGTACTTTAGTTCTTACCTTAGGATTTTTGTATTTCAGGTTGAAACCTGCTCTGCATTTTGTCTCCTGGAATCAAGAAGGCTGGAAGACTAGCCTGTGTTCAGTGCCACCTGTAGGTCACTCCCATTCGTTATTAGCCTTAGCAAACAACACGTGTGTGAAGCCCACCTTCATGGAACTGAGAGAAAGGTTCATGAGGCTCTACAGGAAAAAGGTGATTACACACCTTGTAACTGCGCTCACTTTGGCGGAGATGATTGGAAGTCAGGGCTAACGCTGTCCAGCGTATCTGTTACATTCGTTATGAGCAAGGAGAAGTTCGCATATCTACTTTAAACGAGAAATTCCGTGAATTCTTAGGATTTAGGCAATATACTATTTTTGTTTAAAAGAAATCATTTATTCAACAATTTCACAAATGTGTATAATGTGTTCTGATTATATTCCTCCCACACTGCTCTCTCTTCCCCTCCCACTCCTTTTGGACCGCTTCTTCCCAACAAGATCCCCTAGTTTCACTTCTTTCCCTAGTGACACACTGAGTTTGATTATGGTTGCTTGCATGGGCGCCAGTGTGGATGTTTCTGTTGCGTGGACTGTTTACCAAAGACTACATCACGAGCAGGAATGACTCCCCTTCCCCAGCAAACATTAACTACCAGTAGCTCCGCACAAGGAGTGGGGCCTCCTGAGACCCTCCCAGTCCATGTCACACCCTTGGCAGGCGGGGTCTTAACGTAGGTAACCACAGCTACCGTGAGTCCAGGAGCACAGTGGCCATGTCTAGAACCTAAGCTCACAATGCTCCTTCCCATATTCCGGCTTATAGTCTTTCTGCATTGTCTTCTACAGTGTGCCCTGAGCCTTGGTGAGGCTGGGGTGTGGGAGAAAGGGATTCTCTAGATGTCCATTTATAGCTCAGTACTCAATACTCAATTATTCTCCACATTTTGACTGATCTCTGTACTATCCACTGGAAGGAAAAAGAAAGCCTTTATGACCAATATTGAGAGCAGAACTATTCTATGAATATAAATATAAATGGACAGTTTTTCAACATGTCCATTTAGCAAACCAATGACAAAAAATTGTCCTTTACATCCTGTGACCTCCTGAGTCTTGGACTTTTGTCCTGGGTTACAGCTCCAATGGAGGGGGCCTCAAATCTAATCAGAAATCCATTGGCTAACCCATTATCACCCATGCCACTCTTGTACTAGTGGACACAGCTTTAGGCAAAATATTTGACTTAAGTTCCTGCTTCCAGTTTAGAGCTGAATGTTCTATGCATTTAAAATGCATTTAATCTTTCACTATTTCCTACATACATAGTATCTACTTTGATCATATTTCCTATTATCCTCTCCTCTTCCCTTCTAGATGAACCCTCTCTGCTTCTCAACTTCCCTCCTACCTTCAAGTCTGTGTGTGTGTTCCCCCACTGTAATTTATTAGGGTTCCTTGAACGAATATGGAGGGACTTTTACTTAAGCAAGGCTTTTACAAGTGGGTTTACCACTGAGAACTGCCTCACCCCTTCCTCAGCAACTGCTTAGAATGACATATAATTTTAACAATATTTGTTTTATGGGGCAGTTGTATGTCTTAAGTTCCTGAGATGGTGATGCTGTCTTTTTTCGATTGCAGGCTCACCTCCATCATTATCTTCAAGTTGACGGGATGGAGGAATGTGCTTTTGCAGAAGCTGTGTCCTCTCTGTCAGCTCTCATACAGGAGTATGATGAACTTGATGCCACAAAGAGCATGCCTGTGCTGGATGTGCCTCGGCTAAGCGTGGCCTTGTGAAAGAAGCAGCTAAACATGCACTGTTACTTGCTCTGACTCACATTCGTTTTTCCCCTTTGTCTTTCACACTGTCTATGATTCAGAAAGTCCAGTTTGTTTTTCACAGTGTCAGGAAGTCAGGAAGTATTTTATCTAAAACAACAGCTTCTGTTTTGTTAATATATACATTAACAAAATATAATAAAAATAATATATATTTTATACACCCCCCCCCCCGGTGTGTGGAGTCACTTGTAGCAATTTGTCAAAATTAAGAGAGCCTGATGTGGTACACCATGTAATCCAGTGTGTCTGACATGCAGGAGGACTGTGTGTTCAGGACCAGCCTGGGCTGTGCAGTGAGAGCCGATGGAGAGGGAAAGAGTGGTTCTTCATCTTCTTTCCTTCCCACAGCTTCCTTTTGCAGACCGTGAACACCTCAGGAAGGACTGTACGTACCTTTTCTGTGTTTACACTTTATCTTTTTGTGCTCTGTTTAAATGCTGGAAAAGCAGGTCCTAGGAATGGAAGAACAGTGTGTGCCATGTTTGGACTTTTAGGAGAGTCTTTATTAAAACTGATAAGCCTTTGTTCTGTTCTTTGAGTAATACCATGTCTATACTCAAGAGAATCACAACTTAGACATACAGTCACTTCTAAAATAGTTTAAAAGCAGATATTCAACTCTGCTATTTATCATTGTTTAGCGTGTCACTGTTTGCACGCTGAGCAGAGCATTGCTAAGCTTGGTGTCCTCATCTGAATTTCATAGGAAGTGGTCATTCTTTACTGAGATGATTCGTCTCCATAATATTTTGAATCTTTTAATGTTGCTTTTAGTCGCATTTATATTTCAGATCCATTGGTTGGTTTATCCTTCAAGGAAAGAATTTTTGGGGAAAAAATTCTTTTCAAGAAAAACTAATCTGTTGTATACTTTGTTTATTAATAGTTTATGTTTCTTCCCTTTGCTAAGTAATTGCTATATTTTTGGCTTTTATATTGATAGTTTAGATTTTTTATAGTATTTGGTATAAAAACTGCATTATTACAGGTTTTAGCAGTAGTCCCAGACATTCCATTTTCTCCTTCCTACAAGCATCTTAGCTGATATTCAGAACACGACAATGACTATTATAGATACATTTATAGTATCTTATTTTTAAGAATCTTCCCTTTCATATCATGTGATAGGATCTGATAGATTGCATTGCCAGGTACAGAATAAAATTTTAAATTATGTCTTTTTATAGCTATATAAAATTTTTTCTTGTAAATTGTATTTTCATTATATATTAAATCCTTTCATGGTATCATGTATGTGTATATTACATAATTATAGAGATATACTCTAGAAATGAATTGTATTTAAATTTTCTCAGGCGTTCTTTCTGTTTTAGAATATTTTTTAGAAACGTCTGATGTCACAAATAAAGCAACCAAAGAATAACCAGTGGCTCTTTCTGCTTTAAATCCATTAGATAAGTGTTTCATCCTCTTATAGCTACTTTAAATCCATTAGATAAATGTTTCATCCTTTGTAGCTACTTTGGTTTTTTGATTACGTGACGTGAATGACTTAGCCTTAAACTTTCCTCCCTATATTTGGCTCTATAGAATCCTGAGCTCAGAAAATATGTCTCCTGGTTCTCTACAGTCTCTCTGACACACACAAGATGTGACCCAGAGCATCCGCCACTGAAAGGACCCTTCACTGGGGCAGTCGAACTGAACAGTGATCATTTTAGACTTGTTGGGCACACAGCATCTCTTGTCCAGACATATTCCACAAAAAGTCGGTCTGTAACTCTGAGTACTTGAGCATCCAGAAAAAACGAATTTCTCAGCTTTGGAGAGTTGGAAAGTGGGTTGACATGTTTTTCCTCTGGGGATCTGAAAAGATGAATGAAGGTAAAAGGTCATTCTTTAAATTTGACTGCAGTAACAAGGATTTTTATAGCAGATACTAGATGGGTTATTTCTTGGGCATTACTAGTAGCTGTTTGTGCCGTCTAGGACCCTCTTCTCTGTGAAATACCCTTGCCCCTTCAGGCTTTCAGACGCCCTGGTGTTTCTCGTTCTTTTATTCAGTTGTACAATAAATGAAAACTTACTTGTTTTGTTACATTTAAAGAGCTATGTCTTATTAAATGTCACTTACCTAAGGCTTAGCAAATTCCCTAATACATATCACTCAGTTTGGGTGGGTGAATAAATAAATGAATGAATATCTTTTGTTAATTTTAAAGACTTATTTATTTCTAGTTTATATTTATGAGTGTCTTACCTACATGTATGTCTGTGCACCATTTGGGTCCCTGGTGCCTACAGAGGCCAGCAGGTATCAGATCCCCTGGAACTAGAGTTACAAATGGTTGTGAGCCTGCATGTGTGTGCTAAAAATCTAATACGGGTCCTCTGAAAGAACAGTCCATGTTAACTGCTGAGCCATCTCTCCAGCCCCCATGAATGGACAGCTTATTCCCTTTAAAGCTGAGGTATCAACTTGATAATACAATAGGGACTACCTTGAGTATAGCACAGTTTATATCATTTCTAAAAATTAGTCTTTTCTATGTGTGCTTAAGTGCATACACAAAAATAAATTTTAAAAAATCAATCCGTTAAGACAATTCTCTTGCAGCCCCAGGCGTGTGTCGCAGCCCTTTAATCCCAGCACTCTGGAGGCAGAGGCAGCTAAGATCTCTGTGAGTTTGAGGCCAGCCTGGGCTATATAGTCAGTTCCAGGACAATATAGAGAGACCCTGTCTCCAAAAAAATAAATAAAAAGATAATTCTCTTGCTCAATCAAGAAGTAGTACCAGCTCTACTACTTTATGCCAGTCGTAGGACAGCATGGCCTTTGGCAAGTTTATTCTAACATGCACAGAGCATTTTGGTGTGGTCCTCCAGGGCAACAGTCATGTAACTGTATGCAGAACTGCTTTCATGCTATGGTATAACAACTGGGATTTTATGTTTAATACTTTGGTTACACTTCTATAATTAGGATAACAACTGGAATTTTATGCTTAATACTTTGGTTACACTTCTATAATTAGGATGAACAAGAAAATAGAGAAACCCTGCCTCAAAAAAACCAAACAAACAGAATATGGGTCTTGAGCAGCCCAGTGTCTTGGAACCCTCCACGCATATGGTTCCTTCAGAGTAGGTATCTCTTGGAGCCCTCCATGCATACCGTTCCTTCAGAGTAGGTATCTCTTGGAATCTGGGTAGCCTGATCTGTCCCAGAACTCTCTCTGTACACCAGGCTGGCTTCAACTCAGAGATCTGCCTGCCTCTGCTTCCTGAGTGCTGGGATTAAAGGCGTGCACAACCACCACCCAACAAGCCCCACTACACTAAACTGAAAGAACACCTACAATCCCACTACTATATACAATTTTCCCTGTATAGTTGAGCTAGGTCAACACCTGTTGTCCTCTGAGATAATTGGACCTAAGAGTGAGTCACAGTGAAGTGGTTTTGTTTGATGAGATTCCAATACTATCACTCCCTCCAGAATACACACACCTTACGTACATTTCAAGAACTTAACACAAGCATAATTCACTTAAATCTGGTTACACTGTACCTTCACTGTCTTTGCTATATTACTGTTGCAGGGCTGAATATAGCATAGCCTCTTCTCTCTTCTCATTTCACAGTTGCTGTTTTCATTGGTTACCCTGTTAGAAATTCCCATTCCACACGTTCTGGAGCAGGGAGTCCACTTTGTTGCTTGCACAAGGCACTTCTTTTTCCAAGTAAGTGGGAGATTCCTGTAAGCTAACATAAATGGGAGACTGCATATGTGTGCATATATGTACTTATCCTGGACTTAATTTTTAAATATAAAGTCAGTAGGTATCTAAAAATTCTAAGGCTTTTTGCATAAAAGGATAAAAGCTTATGTTCTAAGTCATCCTTCCCTTCCTGGTACCTACATTTCCTCTTTCTGTCAAGTGTGGCCATGCAGTTTCTAGGGAATAGACTCATCTGACATCATTCTGCCCATCCATCCTCAAGGATTGACTGCTTCCGATCAGTACCTGTCTTTTGTTAGCTCTTGCCTGATATTTCCAACAGATACTGAAGTGAATGTTGATAGGATTAGGGAATTCAGGACAGTAATCAGAATAGTGTGGGTTTTCTTTCCTTGAGACCTGGTTTTGCTATGCAGCTCGGACTACCTGCTAACTCGCTCACAGTCCTGCCTGCCAATCCTAGGAATATAGGCACCATGCCTGTATCACCATGGCTGGTGTAATATTATGTATGATCTTAGTATTTAAATTTCATGATATGTTCAAAATCTAAAATAAAATATTTAAGAATGAGACAACAAAATCAGTTCTCTTCCACTTTAAATGTACTCTTTAGAAAGTTGTAGTCAAGGTGAGACGCACAGGCCCACGGTGTGCCTGTGGAGGTCGAGACAGCTCTGTACCGTCAGTTCTGTCCTTTCCCCATTATGCAGAGCTCAAATTCAGGTCACCAGGCTTGCACAACAAGTCTCACCTGTCCACCATGGGAATTTATAACAAACAATACTGCACTAAATTAATTTTATATACTAAACCATTGCACATGTCGATCTGATCCAACTTGTCTCATCCCCTGTGATCAGGCCCACAGTAAGCTCTATAAGGTAGCCACTTAAAATCACCTATGAAATACTTAGGGAATGCAACTGTGGATGAATTACAAGTGGAGAAATGAAACCCCTCTACTGTCTACTGCATAGAAGAAACAGGAAAAAAGAGAATAATTCTCCATGAAAAACCATTAGGAGATTGTTACTGTTCTCCAGTGATGCAGACCCCTTTTTCATAGTCAACAGCACAGGTTTGTTACCTCCAGGCATTTCTCTAACACACATCCTACAATTGATACTTTGAGAGGAAAGTGGTGATTTGAGCCCATAGTTACAGAGCGCAGTTCTACATTGAGAATATCAAAACTGGGGGAGGGGGGATTTAAAAAAAAAACACCTCAATAGAAAATATCAGTCACTCTGAAGCCTGTGCTGCCTGATGAAAGTGGCTTCCCAATGCTGCCCTCAGTGTAACAGTGAGCAACGGAAGTGGAAACAAAGATACCCTACCCGGAGGCAGACAACAGTTAAAGACCTCACTGCAGGAAGCAGATTAGCCTGTCACATCTGCAATAGGTAAAGGTATCTTAGGTTGCTGCATTGCTGATAACCCTGCTTACAGATAAACTGGTGCGGGAGAATTGTCTGTATTCTGTCAATCATGTTTTAAATAAATGCTGATTGGCCAGGCAGGAAGTAGAGGTGGAGCAAAGAGAACAGGAGTATTCTGGGAAGCAGGAAGTTCCTTCTGTCAGTTCTGCCCAGATCACCAGAGAAGCAAGATGTGAGCTGCCCCACTGAGAAAGGTACTGAGCCATGTGGCTAACATAGATAAGAATAATGGGTTGATATAAGCTACAAGAGCTAATAAGTAGCCTGAGTTAATGGGCCAATCAGTTTTATAATTTATAGAGATCTCTGTGATTTTCTTTGGGGCTTGCCAGCTGTGAGGAACTGGGCAGGACATAAACCCCAACAAGCTGGCCTTCATGTTACAATAAACATGCAGTTTTATTAATAATATGTAGTTATTCCTGAACTGAAGGCCTGCAGTTCAGGAATTTGTTCAACATTCATTAAAAAGCAAAGAAATTATGGGATAAATAAACGAAAGCTTAGTGTTTATGAGCACTGAGAAAAACATGAGGGATGATGCTTTATACTGGCCTGGCAAATTCTAGATTCCAGCAATAGACCCTATAAGTTATTATCACACATACGATTCCAGCAATAGACCCTATTAGTTATTATCACACATACATGTTTAAGGCATAAGCTCTCACTGACATTCACTGTGAAAGTCAAATTTCCATGTAGTCAGAAACACGTTTTCACAAGTAAGCAAAGGAGAGTCATGGCGGACTTTGCATACCTTTGAAACACTGAGGCCTACATCTCACCTACCCAAGTTAGGAGACTGTCTCACTTCTTTGTAGCTCACCATTTTGGAGTTCGTGTGAACATGAGTAATGCCATGCTGTTTGCTGAGTGACCATGTGAACAACCTAGAAATTGTCTAACTAACTCACATAACCAGAATCCTGGAGGAAGTTTTTGTTTGTTGCACCTTTAAATATTTAAAACTCTCATAATAATTTTTACTAACAACATAATGAAGGTGAACCTAGAGGCACTCCTGTCTGAAAAATTCTCCAGCATATGAGTAGGACATCATTTACACCTGCGGCCACCTCGTGCTCAGAATAAGCCCTCAGGAGTCTCGCTTTGCGTCCTGACTACAGTGGCCTGCTTTAAAGTGAAGAAGAAGGCTGGAACCCTTGTCAGTTTTGAAAATAATGTTTTGAACCTCAAAATGTGTTAGTCCTTAAAAAAAAAAAAACTTTTTAAATCAACTTTACATTTCTGCTAGTACTATATGAAAAACTTTGAAAATGCAGGAACTGGATGGTCAAACTTCTTGCCCATAATTACAAATGAAAGGTTTTTAGGGTACATGTGAACAGTATTTGTTTAGTATTCCTAATGTGTTGTGTATAAACAGAGTAAGATTTTAGAAATTTCCTAAGCTGGGAGGTTTTAAAAATCAGACCCTTTTATTCTCAAAACCAAAATATAAAGTTTTCAGACACTTGGAATATACCTACCTGCCTGAAGCAAGCACTACACGGGTACACACACTGTAAATCTCTAACCATCAGCCAGTGAGTTCTTACTGGTTGGAATCAGGAAAGAACCACAGGAAGTCATCCCTGCTGAGGTCACCTGGTGCTGCAATATAGCCTGCAGAGTGCCCACCCTGTGACTGTGGTCCTGGGCTACGGTTTTGAGGCTCACCTGGCACTGCTCTGTAGTCTACAGGGCGTCCCGTGACTGGGCTACAGTTTTGAGGCTCACCTGGCACTGCTCTGTAGCCTGCAGAGCGCCCTTGTTGCAATGGTCCCAGACCACAGTTGGTTGTACCAGCTCTTCTTATGCCTTCAGCTGCAGAACAGTTACTGCCAGCTAGCCTGGGTATGAACAGGGGCGTGCATCCAATTGCACCACCAACACAGAGGCAACTGAACAGTGGGTGGGGCTGAAATACTTGGCCATTCTGATAATGGACCCTGTTGAACTCACATCCAACAGCCACAAGATCTGGAAAACAACAACAATAACAGCAGCAGATTGTCAACATAAATAAATAAATAAAACTATATGGCTTGGCTAGATAGACCTACTCCAGTTGTAACTGTCTCTTATGAATGTGGTTCTTAATTCCTTAAGCCTCTTTGGAATCTCCTTCACAGAGCATCTATAGAAAGGTTAAAATGGGGTGTTTGTATTTTTGTGTAGACTAAAACCCCCAAATGGTCACTTCCAAAAAAACCCAAAAGTTGGAGTAAAGGCAGCTATTCAAAGTTCTAGGCTTGGCAGTGAGATGGTTATAAATAAATGGTTGAGGCCTGGTGAGACAGTTCCACCATAGATACAGGCCAGAATGTGTCCACAGGTGGGGCTGGAGAACCACCTAACTAACTGTAGTACTGCAAGGTAACTGGAAGTCGGATCCCTTTCAGGATCAGCCCTTTCCAAACGTGCCCCACCAGCTCCGTAGGAATAGCTGGAGTGCTTTCAAAGAATCCGTGGAAACTCTTCACAACACTGGGGTGTGTGTGACATCAGTGGGACAATCAGCAGTGGCTGGAACAGATGCATTAGCATGACTTGGGCCATACAGGAAGTGGGCTGTGCTCTGACTTTTTGTACACTGGTACTTAGAAAAATAAAGTTAGCTTCACAGTGTGGTGTGGGATAATTGTCTGTATTCTGTCAATCTTGTTTTAAATAAATGCTGATTGGCCAGGTAGGAAGTATAGGCGTGTCAACCAGACAGGAAGTAGAAGCGGGGCGATGAGAACAGGAGTATTCTGGGAAGAAGGAAGCTCTTTCTGCAGTCCTGTCCAGACACAGAAGAAGTAGGATGTGACCTACCCCGCTGAAAAAGGTACCAAGCCATGCGGCTAACATAGATAAGAATAATGGGTTAATATAAGCTACAAGAGCTAATAAAAAGACTGAGCTAATGGGCCAATCAGTTTATAACCTAATGTAGACTCTGTGTGATTTTCTTTGGGGCTAAACAGTTGCAGGAACCAGACAGGACAGAAACCCCAAAAAGCAGGCCCTCATGTTACAACAGTGTTCTTGGTAGCACAGTAAAATATGTTAACTTTATTAAATCCTCCCCATTTCTGTTTAATTATATTATTATGACAAAGTAAATACATAATATTCAGTGTGCCAAGTATAATAGTATTAGGAGACAAAGGAGTCAAGTTTTCAGTTGGAACTTTCCTTAAACAGTTGTTGGGTAAACTGTGGGTGCTCAGACTTGGATCTTGTGGAGGTGTCTTCTTGAAACTGGGCAGAAGTTGTCACTAATTGTCACTGCTAAGAAAAAAGTGTTTGCTGCCAGTGACGTAAGACACACTTCCTAGTAAAAGAATTTTGGAAAATGTTATCCACCACTGAGATCTTTCTAGCCACCAACTGTGTCAGCTTTCTGCTGAGAGCGATTGTTTAAAGGGCATATATTTATTATTTACACAATCGGGAAACTGGTACTTTCCAAATACCCAGAGCAGAGGATGACAAAACTGCGTGTGAGTCAAAAACCAAGTCCAAGCAGATTCTGTATTTGCTTTGGATTTTTAAGATAAGGTTTCTTTCCCCTTGGGCTCCATTCCTATCACCTACATAGCAACTCATGACCATCTCTAACTCCAGACTCGAGGGACCCAATACCCTCTTCTGACCTCTGAGAGGGACCAGCTGCACATGTGATGTACAGACACGTATGAAAGCTGAACAACCAAGCACATCAAAAAAAAAAAAAAGTTAAAGGGGGGGCCTTCCCAAGTAACCCAGACTGGTCTCAAACTCCCAATCCTCCTGCCTCAGCCTCCTAGAAGTATGTGTGAGCCAGCCCAGTGGGTTTGAGGTATTTTATTAGAATTAAAAGTTTGTTGGGGGCTGGAGAGATGGCTCAGAGGTTAAGAGCACTGCCTGCTCTTCCAGAGGTCCTGAGTTCAATTCCCAGCAACCACATGTTGGCTCACAACCATTTAAAATGAGATCTGTTGCCCTCTTCTGGCATGCAAGAATACATGCAAGCAGAATGTTTCATAAGTAATAAATAAAGAAAAAAAAAGTTTGTTGGGTCCAAGCAGTGGTGGCACACGCCTTTAATCCCAACACTTGGGAGCAGAGGCAGGTGGAGCTCTGTGAGTTCAAGGCCAGCCTGTTCTACAGAGTGAGTTCCAGGATAGTCAGTGCTGTCACACAGAAAAACCCTGTCTTGAAAATTTAAAAAAGAAAAAAGATAGATAGAAAGAAAGAAAGAAAAAAGTTTGTTGGTTTGGTCTCAGATCCCAAGATGCAGCCAATTTCTAAGGAGCTACCTGTCACACGTGAGTCTATCAGGAACATGTGGGAATGTGTCTCAAGAGCATGTTACTGTGGTCACCCGTTTCTAATTGTGTGTCTGTGTGAAGCCAAGTTTTCCTCAGATGTCAACCAGAAAAGCAAACCTTTGCTATTCAAAGACGGAGATATGAGGGTCTACTCATCTATTGAGCTAGACAGTTGGGAAGTTTACAAAAATGTAAGACAGCATTCTCCTCACTAAAATGTTCTTTGCTGTCAGTAGTCGTCATTTATAAGAAAATGTATTATAAGAAAAGGTTTCATTTAAACGAACTTTAAAATTACAAGTTCATTAAATGTTAACTGACAAAAGCCCACATTAGCAGACGCTGTAGTCCTCGGGATTGCTGGTTCTGTGGGGAGATGCCTGGACCTTAAAGCAAGCTTGACAGTCACTGTTCTACTTCAGAAGCCAGCCAGTGTGCCATGAAAGACTGAACGGCTTAGTCATCTCAGATCACGTGGTCTCTACACTGGCTTGCTCTGTGCAGCAGGCACAGATTTCTAATGACAGTCCTAGCTAGTCTAGGTTAGCTCTGGGCAGTAGGTGAGGTCCTAGTTCTAGACTGCCTCCCTCACCTGCTGCTAAGGATCTCGTGTTGTATGGGAAGATACATCGCAGCTGGCCAGAGGAAAGGTAACTCAGAAAGTGAATGCCGCAGTCCACGTCCTCACGGTTTACATCCCCGTGATTTGTTTGTTTTTACATCCTGACCAAAGTTTTCCTTCCCCTCCTTCCAGTCTGTCCCCCATCCACTCCTCCTTCTGAAGGGAAACATCCATGAGTTTTTAAAGACGATTATTTTCTCCTTTCATGAAAGGCCAAATTCAGATTAATTTCAGACAGGATTAACAAAAGCTGTCATTTTTAGGTTAGACCCTAGTTACATGACGCTTGCTATATGCGATCATGTAAAGCAGCTACCTGAGCCAGACTTGGTGGCACATGCATTTAATCCTGGCATTCAAGGCAGAGGCAGGGGGATCTCTGTGAGTTCTAGGCCAGCTAGAGCTGTGTAGAGAGATCCTGTCTCAAAAGTAAAACAACAACAACAACAAACCCAGCTACCTGAGAACTGCAAAATAACTGTGAGGCTTTCAAACATGTGCCTCTGAATTTCAAACGTTATCCGGTACAACTGAACCAGCCCACCGGTGCGCGGAAACTGCATCTGTCCTGTATTTAGCTAAACTAAATTCACACTCCGAATTACATGGGGCGGGGAAATGTGTCTCGATTCAGCCTTTCCCAATGGGTCTGGAAGACACTTACATGCACACACTCCCGTCTCGTACCTAGGCTTGTCTGCCGAGTAGTCGCAGTACAGCCCTTTGTGAGGGTCGCAGAGGTCGGCTTCATTACACAAGTCTCCCCGTTGCTTGGCGCAGACTTTGCAGCATCCGCAGCCATCCCTCACCAAGCTCACCCCAGGAGGACAGCTGGGCTTCCGTGGAGGACATTGGCAAGGCCAGTGACAGAGCTGTTTCCGGTGACCCACTTGGGGTGTTTCTGCGGGCCCTTCTTCAGGGGTCGTGTCTGATGGCACAGTGCCCAGCGCCCGGCAGCAGAGCTTCATTTGGTGATAAAGGTGATGTTAGAAAAGGCTCCTGAGACTACTCATAGATCAGAGGCTGCAACGAGCCAGCCAACAACCATGGACCGAAACCTCTGGAACTGAGAGCCAAAGTAAGCCTTCCCTTCCTACGAGTGTTTTTCTTAGATCTTTTATCCCAGTGACCAAAAAGGGAAAAAAAAATCACTAAGGCAAAAAATAAGCAAAAAAATAAATAAATAAAAAATATTTTCTGCTCTACGCACAATATCTTTTTATGTTTGCACTTGTTTTCTACTCTGCACATATCTCTCTGGGCTGGAATATTTACTGTGTAAGAACACGTCCTCCCTCTCCCATTGACAATAACCACCTGCTCCTCTCAGAATGCAGAACAGGAGCAAGCTGGCTGCACAGCTGCAGAATGCAGAACAGGAGCAAGCTGGCTGCACAGCTGCAGAACAGGAGCAAGCTGGCTGCACAGCTGCAGAGCAATGCATTCCAACTGTGAGGACGAGAAGAACCGCACCCTGGACATCCTCCTTGGGATCCCTTTGAAACCTTACGTTCTTAAACAGTGTAACCACTTCCCTTCTCCTCTAAAACACCTCTGCTGTCCAGGCTCCTAACTCCACATCCAGGCATGTTGTCTAAGTGACCAGAAGCGGTCAGAGCTCTGTCCTCTGTGCCAGCAATGACCTTCGCCATGTAAATAAATCAATAAAGTAGTCACCCCGATTTAATTTTCTCATTAGAAAACACTAAGGCAATGAATTGCTCATATTAAATTAAACTTGCTTTGATCGGTCCTCTGAAATATTTTGAGCTTCCATGGACAGAATCACTCACAAAAAAGTCAGAGACCTGAGGCTTGAGAAAAGACAAAGTAATAGGACATTAAAACAAAGACAAAAAAAAAAAAAATAAATGTTCCTTCCTAGGTGCTCCTTTCAAACAAGGACAGGCTTCAATGAAAAAAAAAATGCCCAAAACCGTTTTTCCAGGGACTTCTTTGCATACTGCAAGCTCTGGAAAGATGAGCCCGTGCCTGTAACCGCCTGAAGGGACCATGTTTACGGCTGTGGTCATCAGCACTACCCGTCTGAGAGCTGGGACTGGACTCTGTAAACAGATATAAGGTAATGTCTGTGGACTGTTCACACATCACAAGCAAACTAGAGGGCACACCTCAAAAGGAGAAATGTCAAGCATCTCACAAAGCTCCTGAACTATAAAACAGAACTTTCTGGAAAGGAAAATGGCTCCCCATTTCTCACGAAATAATTACCCGCATCTTTCCCCATCTCTATCTTGCCGTTTTCCTTTGGGCCTGAAGGAGTACAGCTGAAGCCGGGGTGTAAAACAAAGACCTACCTGTGCCAGTCCAGGAAAGAGCAGAGTGCAGAAGAGACGCCTGTGCATGTTGCCGGGACGTGGCCGGGACGTGGGAGGATGGAGAGTCGGAGGAGCGCTGGCCCGTCCTGCCTAGGGCACAAAGCTCCCCTGTGTCCTCCACAGGGAACCACGTCTCCACCTCCCGGGGCCAGGCTGCACTTTCCGTCTGAGGATTCATCCATTCCAGTGCCCTGCTTACTTCATGTGACTTCTAGAAGCACCTTTGGTCTGCGCAGTGTGTGTCTCCATAGGCCAGCACCTTCCTGCAGGGACTCAGCAAGATAAAGTGGAGGCTTCTCTCTGGGGAAGGGCTGGCGCTCTGTTCTTGAGGTCTAAGCCTGTCTTCTAGGAGGTGGGTGGCATTAGCCGCCTTAGACACCGTCCTCTCCCTGCCCTTAGTCTCTGTCTTTGTTTTCTCTGCTGGGGGAGGGGGACGCTGGTCTGGTCCCTCCCGCTTAGGTGCCACCGAGTTTCATGTTTTACCAACAGCGGATCCTAGCGGCATTTCCTGAACTGGTAGGCAGCCACCAACTCACTGTCTCTGAGCTGCCCCCCCAATCCCTGTCCTCTATGCCAATACGTGTCTTATCCCTGGAGGACAGTAACCAGTAAACCTAGGTGATGTGGACGGACTCTCCCAGCGCACTGCCTAAGCTAGGCCCCTTTCTGCGGTCGCAGTTCCATGGAAGGTTACAGAAAAGTTAACCCCAAATTTTTCCCAGCCGAGGACCAAACATTAACATCCATAGAAATAGGAGGATTTTTAAAACTTAGGGAACACTACAAAATACACATTAATTTGTACAATTTTATGTTTTTACGTATCAGCTTAAACAATCTTTAAAAATCTAAAAAGCTAAATTATTAGGTATTTGTACCATTTCTCCTCACCCATCCCTCCCCACATGTGGCCACCAGCCTGTCCCCTCCTGTGTTGTCACCAGGACCTCTGTGCGCCCTTCCTGCCCTTTGCTCTATCTCTATCAGAGTCTTGCCTTCCTGAGGATCCAGCAGGCAGAAACCTTTTCCTCAGGCATGTCACCGAGCCGATGGTGTCCTGACGTCTTGCTTATCCTGAACTCATTGCTCCTCTGTGAACATAAACGTAGCACATGGCTAAGGCCTCTCACAACGACTCCCAGGAGTCTGAAGCCTGCAGCGCAAGAAGCCTGTGCACATACGCAGACAGCCCGCAGCTACATGCTGCGGACCACCGGAGGATCCGCCAAGCAGTTGCAGCTCTGAGGCCTCGGGTCGGTTACTTTTCTCTTCCTTGTGAAAAAATACCTGACAGAGTTGACTTGAGAAAGGGCTTACATATGCCGTCCATCACGGCATGGAAGCCATGGCAGGAGCATGGGCCGCACATTGCACTCACAGTCGGGAAGCAGAGATGAAAGTCAAACTCATTTTGCCTTCTCCTTTAAATCCAGCCCAGGGTCCCAGTTCATGCAATGGTACTGTCCGTATTGAGGGCGAATCTTCCCACCTCAGCTTTTCCTTTCTAAAAAACACTCCTACAGCTCCAAGGAAAGATTTATTTCTTATTGACCCCAGAACCCCAGATCAAGTTGATGATCAAGACTAACCATCACTGGGGTGTCCTGATCCTTAAGAATTAAGACAAAAGCCCAGAGTGGCTCAGTGAGGGAAACTATGTCTGCTTTTGGTCTAGTCCGAGCTTTCTCTTTTTATTTCCCTGGTGTTGTGATCATTTGGCATTTGGATCCCCAGGCACAGTGATCCTTGCCCCAAACTGGCCATCTGATTTGATAATGTCTTGTTCGCTGGCTCATCAACCACGTCTCTCTCGCTCCCACTCTCCCTATTTCAATTGTGGGGCTCCATGTATCTGCAGCGACTGGACTTGTAGAGAGATCCACGCTCTCCACCTTTTCTCTCCATGAAAAGCCTGCAGCCGCAGCCGTTTTCTGGAAATGCCTTTCTTCAGTCTGCACTCTCACAGCTGTGGAAGATGGTGTCCTACTGTCTGTCCGGCCTTGCTGTCAGTGGGAAAAGAACAACTAGCTAGCAAAACCTCACATGTTTAAAGGACCCCATCAGCTCTGGGGTACTCACTTCCACCCACTTAGGAGACCCCATCAGCTCTGGGGTACTCACTTCCACCCACTTAGGAGACCCCATCAGCTCTGGGGTACTCACTTCCGCCTGTTATTCCTTTGCAGTCACTTTAAGGACTAACCACGCCCACCCCAGCCACTTCTGACCTCTCTCGTCGCCATCTTTCTCTCTCTTGTGTTTGTCTCTTGTCATGTGTACATGTGTCTTTATTTTTCTCTATGTTTTTCTTATGGCTCTCTGTTTTCCTCTTCTTTAAGCAATAAATGTCTCCCTCTTCTTTAAATAATACTATGTCCTGTGAGCCTTTTATCGCCATAACCTCCCGCCTGACTCCCCCGGCCGCATGGCGCTGCCACCCTGGAGATCTTGCAGGGACCCACAGTCATCCTTGTTGGACTAGCAGCTGCTCTGCGAGCCGCCAGGGGCATCCCATCATCATATTTCTTTTTAAAGAAGAATACCGCCCACCTAGGAGACCCCATCAGCTCTGGGGTACTCACTTCTGCCCACTTAGGAGACCCCATCAGCTCTGGGGTACTCACTTCCGCCCACCTAGGAGAACCCATCAGCTCTGGGGTATTCACTTCCGCCCACTTAGGAGACCCCATCAGCTCTGGGGTGCTCACTTCCGCCCACCTTAGGAGACCCCATCAGTTCTGGGGTACTCACTGCCACCCACACTTAGACTTCTCCAGCCTTCGCTGCTGTTTAACTATTTCACTCCTGTCTGGGTGAACTGAGTCTTTTTAGGGGTGGGAACTGCTGTGCTCCACTCTATGCAGTAAAAGCTGTCACCGTGTGACCTCTTCCAAGGACTTTCTCTGATTACATCTCATCTCTCTCCCGATCATCTCATTCATGAACGAGCGCTCAGCCTGTGACGTCCCCTCAAACTGACACAGCCCTAAGCATAACTAATATGTGGAGCCCATTTCGTGACTTACAAGGACGCTTCCCATGTATTATCTCTTTAATTTCACAGCTCAGTGAGGTGGACAAAAGCAGTATTGCTGTCCTCATTTAACAGATTAAAAAGTTAAAGCTAAGTCATTGTGCTTGGTCAATAAAACACCCTTAATCCTTGCCCCCAAGACCTATGCAATCCACTGGCAGAGCAGACCTTGAATAAACAAACACACAAAGTGTCATTAACAATTGCATAAAGGCTAATAACAGAAGAGAAACTCAGAGAGAAGGACAGATAAGAGCTAATTTACATTGCAAGTGGCTTCAAAAGTTCAGAGATGACACCAGATGAAGAGAGGATTTCTGCCCCAGTGCTCAGGCAAACTGCATGCCTCTCACAAGGAGAGCCCCATCAGCAAAGGACGTATCCCATCACTAGTCCCTCTGGCAAGGGCATTGTCCAGTCCCTTCTCCAGGATGTCAGCCTTCTTGGGCGGGCAAAAGTCAGAACCGGCGCTCTTGGTCAGCAAGTTTCGCAGAGCACGCGCGCCTCTCTTCAGCCCTTCTTTTCCGATCTCTTTGGTTATAGAAAGGTCATGGATCCCTAGGTCTGAAAGGGTGACAAGGATCGTTGTGTAGTAACCTACTAGAAAGAAGGCCGAGGGAGGGAGGGAGGGTCCGTGTTCCCCTCAGGGAAAGTAGACTGAATAGAAATAATAGCGAACATCTGGGGAGCTCTTCTGGGTCTTCACAGGGCACTCACAGTTGGATATGAAACACTTGATTCTCACGCATGGCTGTGAGAAAGTAC